CCGCTGGTGACCTGTGGCGCTTCTCCGCCTGGGAATTTCCTAGTCTGTGGGCAATAAAAATGCGGCATCCACTCACCCTCTGCGCTTTCACTGGGAGCTGCAATCCTGAGCTGTTCCTAAACGGCCATCTTGGATCCTCCCCCCCACTTTTTTTTTTTTTTGGTCTCCATTTGGTTGGTAAATCTTTCCCCATCCCTTTATTTTGAGCCTGTGTGTGTCTATGTACGTGAGGTGGGTCTCCTGAATACGCACACTGATGGGTCTTGACTTTTTAACCAATTTGCCAGCCTGTGTCTTTTGATTGGGCATTTAGCCCATTTACATTTAAGGTTAATATTGTTATGTGTGAATTTGATCCTGCCATTTTGATACTAGCTAGTTGTTTTGCCCATTAGTTAACGCAGTTTATTCATTCTGTTGATGGTCTTGACCATTTAGTATGTTTTTGCAGTGGCTGGTACTGGTTGTTCCTTTCTATGTTTAGTGCTTCCTTCAGGAGTGTTTGTGAGGCAGGCCTGATGGTGGTGACAGAATCTCTCAGCAATTGCTTGTCTGTAAAGGATTTTATTTCTCATTCACTTAGGAAACTTACTTTGGCTGGACATGAAATTCTAGGTTGAAAGTTATTTTCTTTAAGGATGTTGAATATTGGTCCCCACTCTCTGGCTTGTAGGGTTTCTGCCAAGATATCTGCTGTGAGTCTGATGGGCTTCCCTTTGTGGGTAACCCGACCTTTCTCTCTGGCTACCCTTAGCATTTTTTCCTTAATTTCAACCCTTGCGATTCTGATGATTACGTGCCTTGGAGTTGTCTTCTTGAGGAATATCTTTGTTGTGGTGTCTGTGTTTCCTGGATTTGAATATTGGCCTGCCTTGCTAGGTTAGGGAAGTTCTACTGAATAATATCCTGAAGAGTGTTTTCCAGCCTGGATTCATTCTCCTTGTCACATTCACGCACACCGATCAAACATAGATTAGGTCTTTTCACATAATCCCATATTTCTTGGAGGCTTTTTTCATTTCTTTTCACTCTTTTTTCTCTAATCTTGCCTTCTCATTTTGTTTTATTGAGTCGATCTTCAATCTCTGATATCCTTTCTTCCGCTTTATCAATTCACTACTGAAACTTGTATATGTGTTGTGAAGTTCTCATGCTGTGCTTTTCAGCTCCATCAAGCCATTTATGTTCTTCTCTAAGCTCGTTATTCTAGTTAGCATTTTGCCTAACCTTTTTTCAAGTTCTTAGTTTCTGTGCATTGGGTTGGAACATATTTCTTTAGCCCAGAGAAGTTTGTTATTACCCACCTTCTGAAGCCTGCTTCTGTTAGTTCATCAAATTCATTCTCCATTCAGTTTTGTTCCCTTGCTGGTGAGGAGTTGTGATCCCTTGGAGGAGAAGAGGCATTCTGGTTTTTGGTGATTTTATCCTTTTTTTGCTGGTTTCTCTCCATCTTCCTGGATTTGTCTACCTTCGGTCTTTGAAGCTGGTGACTTTCAGATGGAGCCTCTAAGTGGATATCCTTTCTGTTGATATTGAAGCTATTTATTTCTGTTATATAGTTTTCCTTCTAACAGGCCCCTCTGCTATAGGATTGCTGGAGGTCCACCCCAGACCCTGCTTGCTTGGGAATCATCCATGCGAGCTGCATAACAGCAAGGATTGCTGCCTGTTCCTTCCTCTAGTAGCTTCGTCCCAGAAGGGCGCCTGCCAAATATCAGCCAGAGCTCTCCTGTATGAGGTGTCTCTTTGGATATACTGAGGCCAGGGAGCCACTTGAGGAAGCACTATGTCTCTTATCAGAGCTCAAGTGTTGCGCTGGGAGCTCTGTTGCTCCCTCCAGAGCTGCTGGGTAGGGACGTTAAAGTCTGTTTCAGCAGAACTTACAACCACCCGTTTTCCCAGGTGCTCTGTCCCGGGAAGGTGGGTCTTTATTTATAAGTTCCTGATGAGCTGCTGCCTTTTTTCAGAGATGCCCTGCCTGGCAAGGAGGGAGTCTAGTCACAGTCTCCCTGCAGAGGTGTTTCTGAGCTGCCTTGGGCTCCACCCAGCTGTTGTGTAAACTTCCTTGTGATCTTGTTTACACAGGTAAGGTTAGAACTGCCTTGGTAATGGCAGACTGCCTCAGTAATGGCAGACACCCTTGCCCCAGCTGAGCTCAACCAACCCAGGTTGAGCTCAAACTGCTGTACTGGGCGCGAAAATCTCAAGCCAGTTTATTTCATTTTTCTGGTGTTTGTGGTGGTGGGACCCGCTGAGCCAGATCACTTAACTCCCTGCATTCAGCCCCACTTTTTCAGGGGAATGGGTGGCTCTGTCTCACAGGCATTCCAGGCGCCAGCTAAAACGGCTATGCAGATTTGTGCTGGAAACCCGTGGCACTTGTTGGCTCAGTGAGAATCTCCTGGTCTGTGGGCTGTAAAGACCATGAGAGAAGTACAGTATCTGAACCGGGGTGCCAGAGTGGCTGGAAGAGTCCCCGATTGCCTCCATTGGGGGGGGGGTTCCTCCAGCCCGTTGCACTTCCCAGGTGAGGCAGCACCCCACCCTGCCTCGGTTTGCCCTCCTTGGGCTACACCCACTTTCCAACTAGTCCCATTGAAATGAACCTGGTACCTCGGTTGGAAATGTGGAGATCACTCGCATTCTGCATCGTCGCTCTCACTGGGAACTGCGCTCTGGATCTGTTTCTATTCGGCCATCTTGGCAGAAGTCCGGAATTATTGGTTTTTAGGTTACAAGAAACCTGGTTCTGCATCAGAACCAGGATCAGGAGAAGGCAGTCAAAGACACAGAGTGTAATTTTTAAGGAGGACTTCCCTCTCAGGTGGCAACCCTACATTTACATGATCCTGAGAGTGAGGGCCTCCTTAAATTTCAGGCCCCAGGCACGTGCTTGACTCACTCCAGTCCTGATCCTGCTGAGCATAGTTTCAACTCTAATAGTTGCTTCACAGATTGCTCCTCCACATGTTTGAAGCAATTTATGATCTCAGCAATGTATGAGAGTTCCAGTTATACCACATTCTTGTTAAATGTGATGGAATACTTGAAAACTTTTGTTAATCTTATGGATGTGTTGGTTTAATCTATACTTCACTTGAACATATCATAAGTTTTCTAGCCATTCAGATTGCTTTTTTCTGTAAATTGCCTTTCATATTCTCTGAGAATTTCTATTGTATTGCCTACCTTGTACATATATATATATATATATATATATATAAGAAATATGTAATATAAAATAATAACACATTTGAAGAAAATTTAATGACATGGAAATAAGTTAATGACAGCTCTTAAGTGGAAAGAGCCAATTAAAGCAGTGGACATAGTTTAATATTACTTTGGGGAAAAATACATAAATGTACACAAAAAGTTTGAAATGCTATTTATTAAACTGTTAGTGGTTGTTATCTCTGAGTTATAAAATTATGGCTGGATGATTTTCTTTCCTTTTCATATCTATATTTTCTCCAGTTAATATGCATTACATTTTTTTTTTGAGACAGTCTCACTCTGTTGGCCAGACTGGAGTGCAGTGGCAACATCTTGGCTCACTGCAGCCTCCACCTCCTGGGTTCAAGTGATTCTCTTGCCTCAGCCTCCCAAGTGGCAGGATTTTAATAGCAAACATGGATGTTTTAAAACAAGCATTCCAAGGAATGAGGTTAACAGAGCACTTGTAAGTGCTTAACATGAAATAAATCATCTTTATCATCTACTACTGTAATTAGAAGGATTGAAACTCCAGAATCTTCACAACAGAACTGAGGTCCAACATTCTGCTTGATGGTCCTCTATATGTCTATGGTCACAAGTCCTGATTTGGGTTTCAGAAAATATGACTATCATAACTCTAGATTATAGATGCCTGCTGAAACCACAGGGAGGCTCAATTTCATATCTTAATCATTTTAATTCTGATTTATTTTTACAGAAGTAGAAATCAAGTTTGTGGTTCAACACCTACAATTTAGTGAGGCAAATGTAGTCATTCTGGTGTTGCCTTCTCTGAGATGAGGCAGGAAGCCTCTTATCAGCTAGGGGATGCCATAAATGACTTGAAGACATTTGCTTCTGAAATTCCGTGATTAATAGGAAGTCCAAAATTTTCTCCCAACCCAAATGAGTCAGGTTTTCTCAAACTTCAAATAGAACTTAACCTTGGTTTGACCTTTTTGAGAGATATTTTCATTTCTTTTTCCATCACCAGCAGGACACACATTCAGTATGCTTTATGTAAAAAATATAATCCTGAAGATAAGATGAAGCAGAATTTTAATTTTTTTACACTTTGAAAAGATTTTAAAGCATTCAAAATATCAAGGTTAATTTAATAGATACGTTGACCCCAATGGTGTGCTAGTCATTGTCAGTAATTAACTCTCCAGAGGAAAACAGCATTTGCTGGTTTGTAGCATTGGCTGGTTTCTGTGGTATAAACACTTCCACCATAGCTGATTCCAAGCCACCTCCCTGACACCATTAAATGGGGAGTTGGAGGAAGAGACACACAGATACACATGATCAATTTACCTGGTGTAATTAAGCTCCAGGACATTTCTTTCCTGTTCTTTTTTCTTTTTCTTTTTTTTTGATATGGAGTTTCACTCTGTTGCCCAGGATGGAGTACAGTGGCACAATCTCAACTCACTGCAGCCTCTGCCTCCTGGGTTCAAGTGATTCTCCTGCCTCAGCCTCTCAAGTAGCTAGGATTACAGGTACATGCCACCATGCCTAGCTACTTTTGTATTTTTAGTAGAGACGGGGTTTTGCCATGTTGGCGAGGCTGGTCTTGAACTCCTGACTTCAGATGATCTACCTGCCTCAGCTCCCTAAAGTGCTAGGATTACAGATATGAGCCACTGCGCCTGGCTGGACATTTCTGATTATACCCAATAACCATAAATAACAAATGTTAATAATTTAGCAGTTTTGCATGGTTTTTCTTAAAAAAAGAAAACAGTAATAACGTTGAAGTATTTTGTTTCTCTCCACAGATTAATTTCTTCACCTTCCTCTCCCAGCAACAGCCATTATCAAGAATCTGGTATGTATTCCTTTATGTTTTTGTACTCTTCCTACATGTATATGTATGTAAAAGAATACATAGTTATGCCTTGCATATTTAAAATTTTTATCTAATGCTGTCATGTTGCACATGTTCTTCCACTCTCTGTCTCCTTCAATATTATTTTTTAAAAATCTATTCATATTAATACATACAGATGCAGTTCACCTGTTTTAACTATTGACTGTGCTCTATCATATGAAAATATCACAGTTTATTCATCTATCCTGTTACAATGAAGATTCAGGTTGTTTCTAATTTTTGCTAATACAAATGATGTTGTAATAAGCTTAGAGATATGTCTCAGTATGTAAAGTTACTACACCTAGAATTGAAATGAATGGGTTGCAGAGAATGCTCATTTTCTACTTTAGTAATATTGATAAATTGTTGTTCCAATTTACACTCCTTCCAGAAATACATGAAAATTTCTCATTTCCATATCCTTGTCAATTCTTGATATCACCAGACTTTTAAAGTGCAGCCAAATTTAGGGTATGAAATGTTACCTTGTTTTAACTTTCATTTCCCAGACTACTAGTTAGATTGGTCATTGTGTTAGTGTACAAGCTAAGCAGCTGTAACAAAGAGACCTCCAGACATAGTAATCTAGGCAAGAATTTAAATAAAAGAGATATTTTTCTTACTTAATCTTATGTTGGACAGTCCAGGCTGGCAAGAGGGCTCTGCTCCACACAGTCACTCAGGGATCCTTCCGTTTGTTACACTGCTATCCCTTAGGTCATCAGTCTTTTCTTCAACTTCCTGGTTGAAGTCAGGTTGTTGCCACATACCAGCTTTTGGAAAAAATTTCAGGGAAAGCAATTTTCTTGCAGACAAATAAGGCAGAAGTTCCACACATCCCTTCTACTTGAATTTCATTGGCGAGAACTTAGTCTCATGAATAGGAAATACATGTCTCTAGCTGGGCAGCCATGTCCAGGAAGAAGGAGGCAATTGAGAAAGTGCTAGCATTCCTTCCCAAGCAGATATTTGTTGGCTTTTGGGGTTTCCTCTTCCATGACTCAGCTGGTAATACATTGTGCCCATTTTAATTTTGCTTTTTTTCTTATTGTTTCATAGGAAGCCTTCATATGCTCTAGATTTGATTACTTATTTATACAAGAATTTTGATTATTTAAATGTACCAGTATATATACCTCAATAAAGCTATTCCAAAATATTCTCATTTGTGACTTAAGCCATATCATATTCTTTAGATAAATTAATATTTCTTTTGTAAAGTGAATAAAATTACCGCATCCCAATTTTCTCTTTTCCAGAAATATAATTTTACCTACTAACTTAAGAAAAATTATAGTTTCATGAAAATTTCTTTAGGCTGATTTAAGTTGCTTAAAGTTAAAACAAGCAAAAAAAATGTGGTTTCTTTGGTACTATTGAACTCTCCAAGAATATTTGACAATCTGTATGAGATTGTGGTGATTTTTTTGACCACTCTGAATTTCAGTTTTCTCAACTGCAAGTGTGATATTAAATGCAGAGAAAATGCTCTGTGGAATGCCAAGTTTTTAATTGTTAGGAATTAGAATTGCAAATAGTATTTCAATAGCATGCAGAAGATTTCATTTAAAATGTCAATATCCTGTTTTCAGTTTTACTGTTATATTCTATATACCGTTAAACAGATATTCCATACTCTGTGTCAGGGGCTGACATTTGACAGTCACTGCCATCTCTGGGTGTGTGTGTGCACATGTGTGTGTAGGTGTGGTTGGAATCACAGCCATGTGCCCAGCCACATCTATGTGAGTCAAGACTCCCCTGAGAGCTGCCGTTATTTTGAGCTGCTCCGTTCCTAATGGCAACCTGAGAGGCTGGCTTTCCAGCCTGTTTTCAAGCAGTTCTCAGCTAAGCCACATCACTGCAAGTGATGCCTCAGAATTTCTATTGCTGCTTCAGACCAGTCCAGCTTGGCATTCATCACTGCCTTCCCCGGGCAGTTCTCAGTTTCCTGCATGTCTCATCCTGCCTGTCACACCAAGTGACAGCCTGTTATAGTTGGGTGGGCAACACTAAATGGCTGCTCCGTGGTTCAGCCCCACCCATCAGTCCCTTTCCTGAGCATCTCTGCTCTAGCACCGCCCTTCATGGGGAGCCACAGGCTTTGCCGAGGAAAAAGAGGGCTGATAGAGATACAGAGAGAAACAGGAATGCCCTGAGGTGTGATTTTTATGTTATTGGTGATAAACGATCTATAAAATGTTAGAAAGGAGAATTTAGCAACATGGTGAAGAAGGGAGTTCTTTAAAGAGGATAAAGAAAAAGCTTCATAATTTTGTTAATATGCTTGAATTTAATTTAAAAATAAGGACAGTAGTACTCTTGTACCAAAATGCAGAACAATTATTTCACGCTTTGTAACCCAGCCCTGTAGGTGTTAGGAATGGCCCTGTGAGGAAGAGGAAGGGAACTGAAGTAACTATGTGGTGGCCAGGGTCAGGAAATTAGCAGAGTCAGGGTCTGTGTCCTCCCTCCTACCAAGGAGGGTATTAGCACTGACTCATTTCATTAACATTTATTGAGCAACTTCTATATGCCAAGAGTTATCCTGCCTGCTGGGATACAGCAGAAACTGAAACAAATGAGGTTAAATCTTTTATATCTGGGATTTTACTGCTTTCATGGAACTTATATTGGGATGACAGAGCATGGAAGAGGTTAATGGCCAGAAACACATGGAAAGGCACATGATAATTAAAATAAATAAACAAATAGTTACATATCAGTTACTGGTAAATGCTAAGTGTCATAGTCCATTTTGTGTTGCTATAATAGAAAACCATAGATGGCAATTTATTTAAAAAGGAAATCTATTCTTCACAGTTCTGCACCCTGGAGAGTCCATTATCAAGGTGGGGGCATCTGGTGAGGGCCTTCCTCCTACATCATTTTATGGCAGAAGGTGAACAGGTCAGAGTTTGCGAGTGCGAGTGAGCAGGAAGGGGCCAGACTTACTGTGATAACAAGCCCACTCGAGATAACTAACCCACTCCTGTGGTAATGACATTGATCCGTGAGGACGCTGCCTTCATGATCTCATCATCTCTTATTTATCCCCACCTCCCAACACTGTTGCATTGGGGATTACATTTACAACACGTGAACTTTAGGGGACACCTTTAAACCATAGCACTGTGTAACTATTTTTAAAAAGTGATGTCAAAGCAACTGAGGTCATCAAAGAAGATGTTTCTGAAAAAAAAAAATGTAAGCTGCTATAGATCAAATGCTTATGATCTATAGCACACCCCCTCCCACATACACACACACAAATTCATATGTTGAAATCCTAACCCCCAATGGGAGCGTGCTAGAAGATGGAGCCTTTGGAAGGTGAATAGGTTCTTGAGGGTGGAGCCCTCATGAATGAGACTAATGCCCTTCTAGAAGAGACCCCAGAGAGACCCCTTACTCCTTGCATCTTGTGAGAACTCAGCAAGAAGACAGCCATCTGTGAACCAGGAAACAGACCCTCACCTGACAGAAAATCTATCAGCACCTTGATCTTGGACTTCCAGCCTCCAGAACTATGAGAAATAAATTTCTCTTGTTTACCTAATTCTCCCAGTCTATGGTGGTTTTGATATAGCAACCTGAACTAAGATGTAAGTTGAGACCTGAACGATAAGTAGAACATCATGTTAGGGGACAAGAGTTCACTGGGCAGAGGCCTCGGCTAGCATGAAGGACCAAAAGTAGGATCAAGTTTGAAAGGTCCCAGGGGAGCCAGGAAGGCCAGTGGGCCCAGAGTGGGGCGGGTGAGATCAGAAGGCAAAGAGGTGTGTGTGGAGAAGTGGCTGACCCTGGATCACACAGCTGTCAGGTGGGATTAGGATCAGGAAATAAGTCCAAGGGTTTAGCCCAGACAGAGATGCACTGTTTGGGGCATCTGGGGCACTGAGGAAGCTGTGGTTCTCAGAATCAGATGACTATCAGATTCATAAAGTTTATCTGGGTCGGCTCAAGGACCAGTGTTTCATGGTGGAGAGTAGACATTGAGGAGACAGGAGCCATTACAAAAACATGATCCAACCCTGGAAGAATAGGCTAGTGGGCATTAGATGAGTTGGTGAGGGTCTCAGCTGAATGAAGTGAAACCCCATTACAAGACAGGACAGAGAGACATGCTTCTTGTGAAGGCTGAGTAGGAACACTGCAGTTCTTCACTCACAGAGGAATCTGGGACTCAGTTCAGCTCCTGGGATCCCATACCATGAACTTGGGACAGGAAACCTCTCCAGAACCCACTTGCTCATACAGTGAGAGCTCCAATGTACTGAAAGGTCAAACTTCTGTTGGCTTAAATACTCACCTGGGTAGCCTAAAGATGGCAGGTCATTTTGTAAGCACTGAGACAGACAACCAGATGGAAAGAATCTCACTTTTGATGGTTTAGGATCAAATTCGGAGCTCTGTGTCTTTCAGTTTGGGTGCCTCTCAAGCCAAATCTTTAATTCTTTTTTTTTTTTTTTACATTGTAAAGCAACCAATTGATAAAGGAACAAAGATGAAAGTTCACTGTGAATAAGACTTGATTTTGCATTCCAAAGACAGATGTACCCTGGATTAGTTAGGTAATTGAAGCTTTATGTGACAAGTAACACCTCAGGATAGCTGAAAATGTCCCTGTTTCTAAAGACACACCATGGCAAACTTCAGTCTCTCATTTTTGTGGCAAGGAAAAACTCCACATGGCCCCAAAGCCCATGCTGTTATAATTAGACCATCCTGTTTCCTAGTAAGCATATTTTTCACATTTTTATCTGTTGTAGTCAAATTAGACCACAATTATGTGTAACTAAAATGAGGCATCATTCATGGAGATGTACTATGTAATGTTAAATTAAAATGTATGCGCCTGTTTGCTAAGTTGAAACCATGTAGATAGATAATACACCTGCCTAGATACAGCAGATGGAGTGCTTTCTATAAAAAGATAACAGCGAAGCCATCATTATTTTCACTAGAGACATTCATTTCTTCATGCCCTACTGCAGTAGTCCCCAACATTTTGGGCACCAGGGATTGGTTTCGAGGAAGAAAAATTTTCATTGGACTGGGGTGGGTTGGGAGGGGTTGCTTTTAAAATGATTCAAGTGCACTACATATATTGGGTACTTTATGTCTATTATTATTACATTGTAATTCATAATAAAATAATTATACCACTCACCATAGTGTTGAATTAGTGGAAGCCCTGAACTTGTTTCCCTGCAACTAGGCAGTCCCATCTGGGGGTGATGGGAGACAGTGACAGAGCATCAGGCATTAGATTCTCATAAGGAGCATGGAACCTAGATCCCTTGTATGCACAGTTCACAATGGAGTTCACACTCCTATGAGAATCTAATACTGCTGCTGATCAGACGGGAGGCGGAGCTCAGGCGGTAATGTGAGTGATGGGGAGTAGCTATAAATACAGATAAAGTTTTACTCACTTCGGCAGCACCACTTACCTCCTGCTGTGCAGCCCATTTCCTAACAGGCTATGGAATAGTACCAGTCTGTGACCCAGGGGTTGGGGACCCCTGCCTTACTGTGTCCTAGGCACTATGCTGAGCACATTTTACACGATCTCATTTACCTTATACCATTGTTTCTAAGCAAAAGTAATGTACTCATCAACTCTCAGGGTTTGGGAGGTCATCTGGTCTGACTTATATCATCTGAACTTATAGCAGATTTTCCATTGATATATCTTCTTTACTTCATGAGACTTGGGAAATCACTTATTTGAACTTCCTTTTTTTTTTCTTGCTACAATGAGGGCAATCATACATTAAACTATTTAGGTTGACAACACAAGTAATTGCGGTCTTTGCCATTTACTTTTAATGGCAAAGTCTCCTTTTATACTTTTGCACCAATCTAATAACTACTTGGTTCATAGATATCGTAGTGAGAAAGGACCTTGGGAGGCGTGAAGCAGGCTTCTGCCTTCAGACAACTGGAGCTGTCAATTTATAAATAGGAGGACAAGACAGGTGAAGTCACCTGCTTAAGGCCACACAGATGGAGAAGGGTACAATCAGAACCAGGATCCTGGTCTTCTGTCTCCTGTTAAGATCTTTTTCCCTAAGCTGAGCTTCAGGTGAGAGCAAGAGTCAAACCGTGTTGGGATATAGCACATGTCTGCCATTGGTTCTCCCTGACCAGTTGTACCTTCAAAGCATAGAATGAAAGGGTGGGGGTGGAATAAAATTCCTGTGAATGGGATATTGTGCTTCAAACTGGCCAATTCGTGGAGAATTTAGGAAAGGCAGTTAAAAGCAAAAACCATGGCTCAGCATAAGCATCACTCCAAGGAAAAGGATCACAGCCTTGTAGCAACATTTTACTCAGATAATGAGATTCACATGCCTTCCTCCTGCCTTACCTCTTCTACTGGGAGCAAGACTGCTCTGCTCCATCCTTTCCACCTGTCAACATCCCAAACCTCAGCCTGGGACAACTCCAGTGTGCAATACAGGATTTAAAAGGGAATAAAGAGTGAAGATAATGAGGGGACCTTTATTTTCTTTTTTTTTTTTTGAAACAGAGTCTCTCTCTGTCACCCAGGCTGGAGAGCGGTGGCACAATCTTAGCTCAAGGCAGTCTCCATCTCCCAGGTTCAAGCAATTCTCCTGCCTCAGCCTTCCAAGTAGCTGAGATTACAGGTGTGCACCACCATGCCTGGCTAATTTTTGTATTTTTAGTAGAGACAGGGTTTTGCCTTATTGGCCAGGCTGGTCTTGAACTCCTGACTTCAGGTGAGCCACCTGCCTCAGCCTCCCAAAGTGCTAGAATTACAGGCATGAGCCACCATGTTCCTGGGCGTGGGCCCAGCCCTGAGGGAACGTTTCTGCCAGGCTCAAGTCATTTTTCAAAATGCAGAAGTGGCAATTAGCACAGGGGCTCATTTGTGTGTGTTTGTGTGTGTTTTTGTCTGTGTGTGTATATATGTGTGTTGTCGGGGAGCACTTTCTCCCTTATGACTACACCTGAAAACCAGTCTTTCCTGACCCACTAATGAGTTTCCTGAAAGATAAATCACCCCTCTTACCATGGAAAGAGCCAATTGCAGAAAAATCTCTAGTGAGACAGAAAGATGTGAACAAAGATAAAATGGGCATTGATTTAATGTAGATGCTGGCACCACCCAGGAAACAAGGAATAAAAGGCAATGTTTGGGGAGAAGCAAGATCATCTCTTGAAAGAAAAGAGAAAGCAAAGGAATACATTAAAAGACCAAGAATTGGCAGCAAGGAATTTGTCTTATAACAGGCATAACCCTATCAACCAGAACCTGTGAAGAAATGACTCTGTAAGCAAAAAGAAAAACATGAAGCTTTAACAGACAATGAAGAACCCAACAAAAACCTGAAGCCTACTTCCCAAGCTGTAAAACTCTCATCTGCCTAGTGAAGAGGAATTAGAGCTTAAACTGTGCTCACCTGGCATAATTTATTTACAAACAAATTGTATAGCCATATAATTATATCCATATAATTTATTCGTAAATAAATCACTCACAATACTGCCCATATCATGCTTGATGATTTATCCTTACATGACCCCTTTGCATTCAAAGTATCACTAGGGAGCTGAGTAACAAACATGGCTAAATTTTGATGGGATTGGAGGCTGGAGAAGAGAGGAGGAAAGGATGGGGAACCCCAAGAATTAGCTGGATTTTGCAGTGGGGCTCTCACAGTGAAAAATTGTTGTACATCAGGGCTGTCTGTACCTTTACCTACTTGCCAGGGAGAAAAGTGTGGTGGAGTTAATGACCTGAATGAAATTTCTAACAGCAGATTGAGGGTGTGCTAGGGTACTGAGCCAGTGAGTGAGTCAAATCCCACTCCACCCAGGAGCAAACGACAATGGAGTCTTTCAGAGCATGGGTGTGTCATGCCAGAGCATCAAGCCATGCAGTCAACGCCCTGACATCACTCCTACAGTCTCCACGGTGGAAGCGGTGATTGGATTTAAATCAAATTCAACTCTATTAAGTTAACCTTTACAAGGTCAACATCTGCCGCTTGCTTTGTGGCCAGGCAGCAATCTCGACAATGAATGTGGATGGCTTCATTAACGAGGCTTCGATAATAGAAATCTGGGTCCTGATTAGATTGTGTGCAGCATGTGTTTGTGGACTCTAATGTATTTTACCAGGTTTTTCAGAGTTGTCAGTTGTATGTAGAAAATTATAATAGCAAATGTATTTTTTAAAAATCTGGATTGGCCAGACACAGTGGCTCATGGCTGTAATCCCAGCATCTGGGG